GCACAGTTTAGCAGCTTGAGAGTCTTCCTCGACTCATCGCTGAGCCTGGCACCCCAGGTCTCGGTGGTGGCCAGGGGGGCCCCTTTGCACAATTAAAACTTGTGCACCAGTTGCGCCCGTACCTTGAGAAGCTAGACTTGGCCATAGTGGTTTGTGCTCTTCTTACATCAAAAATAGACTACTGAAATGCACTCTATGTGGGATTGCTTTTGGAGACTGTTCGGAAGCTTCAATTGGACCAGAGGGTGGCAGCCAGATTTCTCACCGGAGCAGCACACAACTCCCCTGTTGTGTCAGCTCCACTGGCTGCCAGTTTGCTACTGAGCACAATTCAAAATGCTGGCTTTAGTCTACAAAGCCCCAAACAGTTCTGGCCCAGCTTACCTGTCTGAATGTATCTCCCTCTGTGACCCACCTCAGAGGTTAAGATCATCTGGGGAGGCCCTGTTCTTGGTCCCACTTCCTTCTCAGGTGCAATTGGTGGGGATGAGAGACAGGGCCTTCTCAGTGGTGGCCCTTCATTTATGGAACAACCTCCCCAGTGAAATTAGATCAGTTCTGTCTCTCCTGACCTTCAGGTGAGACGGAGCTGATCTAAGATGTGGTTTGGGAACAAGCCTTTGACCAGTAATTGGAGCAGTGCAATAAATTCTATATCAGGAATAGGCAATATGGGGTCTAATGGATACACTTTTTCTCTCCCATCCACCATCTCACCCTGACCAAGACCAACCCTTTTGGGATCCAAATGTTTTCTAACTTTTTTTTTTCATTTTCTGTCTCCAGAAGAGAAGAGGAAGGAGAAGAAAGGGCAAGGAGGGGACTTGGGGAGAACCCCCTCCCTCCAACCCACCATGAGCTCCCCAAGTTAGACATTTTGCCCTATATTTTGGAATTTACATGTGCTGGAAGCATACCACAGAACCACACTAGAGAGGCCCACAAACACATCTGGGATGATAGTGGTATGTTTTGAAACATGGGTAAGTGAAACTGTGGACAGTGAATTCATGGATAAGGGGGTCATATTGAGCTGCGTTTGATAAGAAACATTTGATAAGAAACAAAGATGGCAGGGACCTAACAGAAGCTGAAGAGATCAAGAGAAGGTGGCGAGACTATACAGAAGATCTGTATAGGAAGGATAATAATATTGAGGATAGTTATGACGGTGTGGTGAATGAATTAGAACCAGACATCCTGAGGAGTGAGGTTGAATGGGCCTTAAGAAGCATTGCTAACAACAAGGCAGCAGGAGACGACGGGATCCCAGCTGAATTGTTTAAAATCTTAAAAGATGATGCTGTCAAGGTGATGCATGCCATATGCCAGCAAATATGGAAAACACAAGAATGGCCATCAGACTGGAAAAAATCAACTTATATCCCCATACCAAAAAAGGGAAATGCGAAAGACTGCTCAAACTTCCGTACAGTGGCCCTTATTTCTCATGCCAGTAAGGTAATGCTCAAGATCCTGCAAGGAAGATTCCAGCAATACATGGAGCGAGAGTTGCCAGATGTTCAAGCTGGGTTTAGAAAAGGCAGAGGAACGAGAGACCAGATTGCCAATATCCGCTGGATAATGGAGAAAGGCAGGGAGTTTCAGAAAAACATCTACTTCTGCTTCATTGACTATTCTAAAGCCTTTGACTGTGTGGATCATAATAAATTGTGGCAAGTTCTTAGTGGGATGGGCATACCAAGCCACCTTGTCTCTCTCCTGAGGAATCTGTACAAGGACCAAGTAGCAACAGTAAGAACTGACCACGGAACAACAGACTGGTTCAAGATTGGGAAAGGCGTACGGCAAGGCTGCATACTCTCACCCAACCTTTTTAACTTGTATGCAGAACACATCATGCGATGTGCGGGGCTTGATGAATGCAAAGCTGGGGTGAAAATTGCTGGAAGAAACATTAACAACCTCAGATATGCAGATGACACCACTCTGATGGCCGAAAGCGAGGAGGAGCTGAGGAGCCTTCTAATCAAGGTGAAAGAAGAAAGCGCAAAAGCCGGGTTGCAGCTAAACGTCAAAAAAACCCAAGATTATGGCAACAAGAATGATTGACAACTGGGAAATAGAGGGAGAAAGTGGAGGCCGTGACAGACTTTGTATTTCTAGTGCAAAGATTACTGCAGATGCAGACTGTGGCCAGGAAATCAGAAGACGCTTACTTCTTGGGAGGAGAGCAATGTCCAGTCTCGATAAAATAGTAAAGAGTAGAGACATCAGACTGGCAACAAAGATCCGCCTAGTCAAAGCCATGGTATTCCCTGGAGTCACCTACGGATGTGAGAGCTGGACCTTAGGGAAGGCTGAGCGAAGGAAGATCGATGCTTTTGAGCTGTGGTGTTGGAGGAAAGTGCTGAGAGTGCCTTGGACTGCGAGAAGATCCAACCAGTCCATCCTCCAGGAAATAAAGCCCGACTGCCCATTGGAGGGAAAGATACTAGAGACAAAGTTGAAGTACTTTGGCCACATCATGAGGAGACAGGAAAGCCTAGAGAAGACAATTATGCTGGGGAAAGTGGAAGGCAAAAGGAAGAGGGGCCGACCAAGGGCAAGATGGATGGATGGCATCCTTGAAGTGACTGGACTGACCTTGAGGGAGCTGGGGGTGGTAACGGCCGACAGGGAGCTCGGGCGTGGGCTGGTCCATGAGGTCACGAAGAGTCGGAGACGACTGAACGAGTGAACAACAACATTGAGCTGCGTAATTATAAATATGCATAGTAAGATATGTCGCAATGTGAATTAATACTCCCAAGCTCGTGCTCTTATCATTTTCTGTACCAATCCCATTGCTCCTGTTGCACATTATGCATTGCGGGGAAAAAGATGGCGTCGGCAGGATAGGACGTGATTTAATGGGCTCCGGTATTTTTGTTTTTCTTACTCCCTCTCCTTGAAATGGGAAACAGAAAATGCCGTAGGCAGGCCCGTAGCCAGGATTTCGTTTCGGGGGGGGGGCTGAATTTTTTTCAGGGGGTTTCGGGGGGGGGCTGAGTTTCGGGGGGGGGGCTGAGTCTGAGTGAAAGAGGGTCTAGCCTAGCAAACCTTTTGTATCGTTACCCCAATACCCCATGCATATGGGATATATTGAGTATGGTGATCAGATCATGATATGAATAAACATAACAGTTTAAATAATGCACCATTAAGGCCTTTTCGCGAACCACCATGAAAATTTCGGGGGGGGGGGGCTGAAGCCCCTCAAGCCCCCCCCCCCCCCGGCCACAAAATGCAATAGGACTAGCCCTGAGTCAACAACACACCATAAGGCTTCTAAACAACTGAAAATTGATGAACTCTTTGGAGAGGGAACTGTGAGTATACCTGACTTAAACGCCCTGTTTGAAATTACTACTGACAACAACGCTACTCCTTTAACTCTCCATGATAAAGTTAATGAACCTCTATCTGCAGCCTTTGACAATAACTTGGCTTTATATCATGAAGGAGTGTCCTTGGAGTCAAATGATAAAGACGTGTCAGAAGATAATTCCCTCATTACCGAGATAAAACAACATACAGGACAAAAAATTACCCAGGACTTTGTGACAAACCAATGTCTCAGTTCTTGTGGGTTTTTTCGGGCTATATGGCCATGTTCTAGAGGCATTTCTCCTGACGTTTCGCCTGCATCTATGGCAAGCATACCTCTGAGGAAGAAAATATACCACAGATGCAGATGAAACGTCAGGAGAAAGCCTCTAGAACATGGCCATATAGCCCGAAAAAACCCACAAGAACTGAGTGATTCCAGCCATGAAAGCCTTCGACAATACATTAGACCAATGTCTGCTTACAGCCCACACTGTGGTGTCGATCTTCGAATGACTAGAAAAAATTGGGGAACAGTTGGAGCTTCTTAAACTTGCTGTTGACCGTTCCACCCAGAGAAACATACCTTTAAAAGAAAGTTCAGCCAAAGATTATGCATTGCTCTCAATGCACATCGGTCGTGCTATGCACCAATCCCATTGTCCATCCATCACTTTGCCAGCTCCCCTACATAGTAATATAACAACAGCTCCTTACTGGATATAGACATTATGGAACTACCCAGTTGCATTTCCCACAGACTAAAGTCCACCTATGAAAATGTAAACAAGATTCTAGTCTTGTTGGTGGTTTACATTACCTACAACAACTCAAGATTCTAGTCTTCATTCATTAAATAGTATTTCCCACTGACTCCAAATAGTCCGAATCACAACTTCGAGGAACCCAAGCCAACCTGAACAAGAATCATACTGGTTAGAGTTGATGTATATTGTCAACCCCTTAGGGAGGCTGTCAAGTTCGGGAAGACCAAAGCTAGATCATCCAAGAAAACTGACCAGCAGTACATTCAGAAGCAATCACAACACATCCCCTGTACCTGTGGGGTATTCATTCCTGGACTTTGCATGGACATGAGGAACTGTGGACAACTGTGAACTCAATGGAAGTGAAGAACCTTTGGCCCAAGAATAGCATAGAATTATGTATGCATGCCCTTAAGTCACCTATTAATGTATAGTGAGTTCTACGGTTTTCTTCTACAAGGACTACTTGGAGGTAGTTTATCCCTCCATTCCTCTGAATATAGCATATAGCATCTAGCCTTCCTTGGTGGTCTCTCATCCAAGTCCTGACCCTGTTTAACTTCCAAGTTCTGATAGGATTTGCTGCCTTCAGGGTATTTAGGCCTATTAGCCAATGCTGGCTCACAGTTAATTACATATACTATTATATATTTTTTGAAAATTAAAACCAGAATAGCTAAACTCTTGCTTTTCTCAGCAAAACGAGAACTGCTTCCATACAATTTCAGCCTATCTGGCTAATCCACTAACCCTTTCATTTATCCGTCTTCCCATTAAGTCTCTCCAAAAGCGCAGCCCTGAACGCTGCCCCCACCCCACAGTCAGCATCCTTTTGCAGTGGCTTTTGCTCTCCGCACATCCTGCTCTGTCTCGGCTTATGAAAAACAACGGATGGGTAATTACCGTCACTGGAGGTCTTTGCGCTAGCCTTTCTTTGCGAAGGCCTCCTGCTCATTATTTGCCAGGGACGCTCCCGATCTCACTCTTGCTAAGTCGCGAGGATGAGAATCCAACTAATGAGATGTGTGCAAATATTATACTTCCTCTGCTTTGCTCGCCGCTCGCCTTTCCCAGCCCAGGAGGAGTTTCATCTGCAGGAAGAAGGTGGGGAAGAAAAAGAAGAATAAAAAAATATGTTTGTACAGTTGTCATGGAAGGAAAGGGGATCGGGAACGAGGGAAGAACAGCTGAGGTGAAGACTGGACTGGAGGCCATAAGTGGGGAAGAGATAAAAGACAGTAAAGAAAGGCCTTGGCCATGATCTGGGAGCAAGGTTGCTTTCAATGGGTGATGCATTGGGAGATGCATTGGGTGATGCAGGCCTTATGTTGAACAGCGTATGCTGTCAGGCTGTCTGTCTTCTTCATGAAGAAACTAAAATAAACCTTGTTTTTTGATCTTTTTTTGGGACTGTCTCCTTCCTTTTGTGCTCCCGTGATATGGACCTAAGAAGACCCAATTTAGGGTCTCTAACAATAGTAATGAAATTTGGTAACCCAACATATAAAAACAAATTATGACTTAACAAGTAAAATCAAGTAAATAGATAAATAAAAAACACAAATGCTCCAAATCAGCTCAAAATGTCCAATTGCATATAGAATAAGTTAAAACCGATCAATCAATCGATCAATCAATCAATCACTTTATTTATATCCTGCCTCCTTTCCCCATTATGGTATCTTAAAGTGGTTTACAAGATTTAAAAACACACAAATATAATCACAGCTAGCTAAAAAACATTCAGAAAATTGAGATTGTAGTATTCATAAAGCCACGCAAAATCATAAACTCAACCAGTCACTTTATTGAATGGTGGAACACATGTCGGGAATGTCAGTGTGTTGCAGTGTATTAAAAGGAAGTGTGCCAATGTCTTTCAATGAGGCTGAGAGAGTCTGACTTGCTCAAAGTCACATAGGGCCCTTCCACACAGCCCTATATCCCAGAATGTCAAGGCAGGAAATCCCACAATATCTGCTTTGAACTGGGTTATCCAAGTCTGCACTCAGATAATGTGGGATTTTCTGCCTTGATATTCTGGGATATAGGGCTGTGTGGAAGGGCCCCTAGATAACCCAGTTCAAAGCAGATATTGTGGGGTTTTCCACCTTTATATTCTGGGATATAGGGCTGTGTGGAAGGGCCCCCAGTGGATTTCTCTTCTGAGGAGGAAATGCCAACTCTGCTTTACTACAGTTTGGGTTGAACACTAAGACTACTCCACCACACTGTCTCTCACCCTATTGGAATTCTTGTCCTATTTGTAAAAGGACGGACCCACTCCTATGAAGATGATATTATTAGGAATAGAAACAACCTCTGATGAATTACAATCCATCTCTCATCCATCCATCAAAAATATTAATGTATTTTTAAACTTCGGTTCTGCTTCTACTTGGCATCCAGGGCAACCCAAATACTTCACCATAGCCTCAAAGTCTGGGACATGTTTACATTATTCCAAGAGCGTATATTTGCATACTGTCACTCATTTGCATATTTTACTTGCTTTTCAAATGATTCCTGCATATTTTCCCCTGATTTTCCTCCCCATCAGGAGAGAGGAGCTACTACAGCCTGGCTCTTAACTGAATGGACTCCGGAGGATTCGCGATCCATGGGCCACACAGTTTCAAGCAAACCCCCACAGTCACAAGGGATGGAAATCTACTCTTGTGTTGAAAATAGACATTCTCAGGAAATTATATTTAGCTTTGATTCCCTCTGGCCACTTTGTTTTTGCAATAAATCACCTTTTTCGCACAGCTCAGCCGTTGTTTTGCTTAGGGAAAAGTGTGCACGCATATGTGCAGTTGTCCAAATGCAAAACCAGGGTTGGAGACCACAAGTGACCCAAAGCTATATCTTGTCCAGCTTAAAGGCATGTGATCAGGAACAAAAGAAGAATACCCTATATATAGAATCATAGAATCAAAGAGTTGGAAGAGACCTCATGGGCCATCCAGTCCGACCCCCTGCCAAGAAGCAGGAATATTGCATTCAAAGCACACCTGACAGATGGCCATCCAGCCTCTGTTTAAAAGCTTCCAAAGAAGGAGCCTCCACCACACTCCGGGGCAGAGAGTTCCAGTGGTGAACGGCTCTCACAGTCAGGAAGTTCTTCCTCATGTTCAGATGGAATCTCCTTTCTTGTAGCCATTGTTTCGTGTCCTAGTCTCCAGGGAAGCAGAAAACAAGCTTGCTCATGTTTAAGTCTAGAAATGTTTAAGTTTAGAAATGTTAATAAAATGTACTCATGTTTGAGTCTAGAAATGTTAATAAAAATATCCGCCCTCACCAAAAAGGAACTATTTCCTTCTCTGATGGTGAAAGGTAAGATCTTAGTCTATGCTGAAGGACCTAAATCAGAAGTTCTCAACCTGGGGGTCAAGACCCCTGGGGGGGTTGCAAGGAGATGTCAGAGGGGTCACCAAAAACCATCAGAAAACACAGTATTTTGTGTTGGTCACGGGGGCTCTGTGTGGGAAGTTTGGCCCAATTCTGTTGTTGGTGGGGTTCAGAATGCTCTTTGATTGTAGAATTGTAGGTGAACTATAAATCGCAGCAACTACAAGTCCCAAATGTCAAGGTCTATTTTCCCCAAACTCCACTAGTGTTCACATTTGGGCATATTGAGTATTCATGCCAAGTTTGGGCCAGATCAGTCGTCTGAGTCCACAGTGCTTTCTGGATGTAGATGAACTATAACTCCCAAACTCAAGGTCAATGCACACGAAACCCTTCCAGTATTTTCTGTTGGTCATGGGAGTTCTGAGTGCCAATTTTGGTTCAATTCCACCGTTGGTGGAGTTGATTGTAGGTGAACTATAAATTCCAGCAACTGCAACTCCCAAACGACAAAATCAATCCCCTTCCAACCCCACCAGTATTTCAATTTGGGCGCATCTGGTATTTGTGCCAAAATTGGACTAGTGAATGAAAATATATCCTGCATATCAGATATTTGCATTACCATGCATAACAGAAGCAACATGACAGTTATGAAGTAGCAACTAAAATAATTTTGTATTGTCGAAGACTTTTGTGGCCGAAATCACTGGGTTGTTGTAGTTTTTTTCGGGCTATATGGTCATGTTCTAGAGGCATAATTTTTGGGTTGGGGGTCGCCACAACATGAGGAACTGTATTAAGGGGCCGCGGCATTAGGAAGGTTGATAAACACTGACCTAAAGGAAGAATTGATACCATCCACTCCCTTTGTTCGCACTCTGAGGCCACATTGGTGTTTCTCCCTCTCTTCAAATGACCTTGCACTTATCGATGAGCCACGTAAAAATCCTTAATTTTGACCCCCAAACCTGCCCTTGACTTATATATGAGGTTGACTTATACATGAGAATATATGGCAATTTTTGTAGCCTATATAACAGCTAATTCATTTTTACATTACAATGACAGGTTTAACGTTGAAAATCCCGAGCTCTGAGGATCACCTGGGAAGGAATCTCACTGGAGCATTGCAGTGCACCCAAATACCTGGGAGTCACTCTGGACCATGCTCTGACCTACAAGAAGCACTGCCTGAACATCAAGCAAAAAGTGGGTGCTAGAAACAATATCATACGAAAGCTGACTGGCACAACCTGGGGATCACAACCAGACACAGTGAAGACATCTGCCCTTGCACTATGCTACTCTGCTGCTGAGTATGCATGCCCAGTGTGGAACACATCTCACCATGCTAAAACAGTGGATGTGGCTCTTAATGAGACATGCCGCATTATCACGGGGTGTCTGCGCCCTACACCACTGGAGAAATTACACTGTTAACCGGGTTTCGCACCACCTGACATCCGCCGGGAAGTAGCAGCCAATAGTGAAAGGACCAAGGCAGTGTCATCTCCAGCTCATCCCTTGTTTGGGTATCAGCCAGCACGTCAACGACTTAAATCAAGAAATAGTTTCCTAAGATCTACAGAGACACTTGCTGGAACATCCCAGCAAGTGAGAGTCCAAAAGTGGCAGGCTCAAACCCAGAACCTCAATCAATGGCTGATACCAAATGAGAGACTCCCCCCTGGGCACACAGAAAACTGGGCGACTTGGAAGGCACTGAACAGACTGCGCTCTGGCACCACGAGATGCAGAGCCAACCTCAAGAAATGGGGCTACAAAGTGGAATCCACGACATGCGAGTGTGGAGAAGAGCAAACCACTGACCACCTGCTGCAATGCAACCTGAGCCCTGCCACATGCACAATGGAGGACCTCCTTGCGGCAACACCAGAGGCACTCCAAGTGGCCAGATACTGATCAAAGGACATTTAATCAACTACCAAGCTTGCAATTTTTGTGTTTTGTCCGTTTTGTTTGCTTGTTTTGTTAAAAATGTAATACAAATGTCTGGTTGCTGATGACACGATAAATAAAATAAACGTTGAAAACCAGGGATGGGATGGAAAAGATTTCATAGGACTGCAACTCCTAGCACTCTTCACCTTTGACTACTCTGGCTAGGGCTGATGTGGAATTGTAAATGAATAACACCAGCGGACTGCATAATTCATACCCTTTCTTCTCCTTCTCCTTTTCTTGCTCACTCTCAAGGCCAGGTGGAGACATGGTGACCGCTTTATGCAGGACCATAACAAGGACGAAAGGATGATGCAGAGTGGTATGACCTTTGCATGTGACTGCTTGTAGTTGTCTGCATGCAGATTTGGGGATAATGGCTGAGAAATGGAAATGCTGTACCTCTCAGCCTGATGCAGAAGGTGGCTGAGTGATCCCATCCGTACCTGCCTCCCAAGTCAACTTTGAGAGCTCTTCTCAAACAATGATCTTCTCCTGCACAGAGATGAAGAAGGGCTTTCTTCAACTATGAGCAAGAAATCCCAGCTCTTATCTCTGATCAATGACCTGAGATAAGCAGAATGCTGGAGACCTAAGAAATAGACTCTGTTGTGCAACCTAGGAAGCTGTTGCATAGTCTCACTCAAATCTTTAGTTCCTCCATAAAAAAAGCTTGCCTAGTCATAGAATCATAGAATCAAAGAGTTGGAAGAGACCTCATGGGCCATCCAGTCCAACCCCCTGCCAAGAAGCAGGAATATTGCATTCAAAGCAC